CAATGGTGCATATCATAAATCTGACAGTAAAGTTATTGGAAACGTCATTTATATTTATATTGAATTTACTTATTAAATTGTCTAATTGTCATGTGTTGTTATGGAGATATTAAATAAAAGGTGCAGACATTTGAATACATTGAAAACGTCAAATTTGACAGTCTATAAGAAAATAATGGTTCATATCACAAATCAGACAGTAATGTCATTGGAAGGTCATAGATTTATATTGAATTTACTTATTAAATGATCTAAATGTCATGTGTTGTTATGGAGATATCAAATAAAAGGTGAATAAATTGAAAACGCTAAATACGGATGTTTTCAAATTTGACAGCTTATAAGATATTAATGGTGCATTTCACAAATCTGACGTAAAGTCATTGAAAAGGTCATAGTTTTACATTTAATTTGCTTATTAAATGAAATAATTATCAGTTATTGTTGATATGATGATATTAAAGAGGTGAAGACATTAGAAAAAATGGTAAAATCTTCATTCACGGTCGTTAACTTACATTACGTAACAGCTGTTACTTCAAAAGAAGCGAAATAGTGGTCTTTCTCACATCGAAAAAAAGAGTATGTAAAAGTTAAAGTTATTTAGAAAAAATCGGAAAATTTAACAATATTTGGAAAATTCCAATTAAATGGCATAACTTAGTCTTTAATTTATTTTATTATATAAAATGTATCTATTATTACATAAATTGTAAAGATTCATTATTATTTATTAATTAAAACTTGAAATTTCATTGGTTAAAGTATTTTAAACCAATTCATCTTACAAAAGTTTCTTCTTGGCTTAAAAATTGCATTTTTTATTGAAGTCTGTTTCATAATTTCAATCATACAAATAAATCTGTTGTGTCTGGAATGTTTTAAAGTAATCCAGAAAACTACTTTCAGGCAAATTCATCTTAATTTGCAGACGTCAATGGAAAGGCTAGAAATTGCAGTGAGAGTGAATTCGTGCTTGGCTCGATCGATAAAACTGTTTGGGGAATGCACTTTCGAAACATGCCGTTTTTAAATATTGACGTTGGCATCCAGTTATTAGATGATAAATCAATTAGACTTGGATAGCGTCCAAGGTACATACACACTTGATCGGCCTACCATTATTATTGTTTGCAAATCCGAATTTCTTGAATGTTTTCCATCAATATTTTACAGTATTGATTGATTATTGTGAGACTAGTATAAGTATATTGCATTATTACATCAAATAGTGATTTAGTGAATCCGGACTATGTGAGGTTTTGTTGAATGTACAAGAAATTTTAAATATTTGCAAGAAAGATATGCACATGTGTATAATTATTTTTTTTATAAAATATGGTAGTTTCAAATTGAAAAATCGCTTAACAGCTTTCAACTCATCTTCTACTCTTCTTTTTTTTTTTTTCTTGGTAATGAGAGACTTGTCTTCTTTATTTACCATATGCTCTCGCACTTGAGGTTTCAAGTAAGTTTTGTCACAGATTTTCAGCAAACGCATTTCTCGAGCACCACTTAAAAAAGGTTAAGAGTTTATTCTATGAAAAAAATATTTCTTTTCGCACTGCGTGAAGAACAACAATCTCTTGATTTATCATTTGAAGTAGAAACATCATCCTATTGCAAAAAAAAATGAATTTAACATTGAGATTATTCAAACTTATTGATTAAAAGAGATTTCATTGGAATAAATAACAGATTTTGATAACTTCTTGTTAAATGTTAAATTTAGAAGAAAAAAATATGTTGAGTTATTAACCTTTTAAGTAGACATTTTAAAGTCAAGTTTCATTTTTATTCTTGGAAAAAAAAAAGATATAGAAGAGTATTCTTATCTGACGTCGAGGTTATTCTAAACTTATTGATTTTTCAAGTTTTCCCCCATGTAATAAAATACGCTTTATCGAATGTTGAAGTGTTTCGTTTTTCTATTTAAAACGTTTTTTTTAAAAACTTCTATTTTCAAGTATTTCAGTCTTTTAGTGTTTAACATTTATATACTAAAGTAAAAAAAAAATCCTCAATATATAAATGATATAAGTGATACTACATTCATTTCTCTAACATTTCGATACCTTTCTTGTAGAACGAGTTGTCTTTGGCGTCAAAATACGGCTTTAACCCTTTGCTGTCCACTCAGCTGACGACCGATTTGACTCTGGACTATAGTGGTGAATCCAGGTTTCATCCATTGTTACATAAGGCATGAGAAAATCCTTTTAATTTCGCTTGAACAGCGCTCGGAATCAGCAACTAGTAATTTTTGGTCCACTTTGACCTTGAACTCTGTACCCATTCCGAACAGAGCTTTCCCCATGATCAAATGTTCATGCAAAATGGTGAATACACTGCCTTCTGATATCTTCAGGATGTCAGCTATCTCACGAAACTTGAATTTACGATCGGCCAAAACCATTTTGTGGACTTTTCTTATGTTTTCTACAACAATTGTCGAATTTGGGCGACAGCGTTTAAAAATCAGCAAACTACTACTCTACCATTTGTCTCGACGGAGAAGAGTTCCAATAACACTTATCAATCCATTGCTTAGCTTGAACAGTAATGAGCAATGTTTTATCAACACAAACAGTACAGAAACAAATTCATATTTTTCCGTTGTTTTGAAAATTACAAAAGTAGCGTCACTAAAACCACTGTAACTTGTTAATAGACTTTGTCTAATTCTCATAAATTGTTGTATATAAGTAATTAAATTTAATTCGAAATCCATCTATTATTATTATCCTTGCAGCTCATTACGTAATGGACGGTTATGCCAATGTTCACACCTATGCACGTACACTTTGAAGTATTGGACTTGCAGACCAACCCAGAAACACACCTACCCTTATAGCAAACACTGATTCGAAAAAAAGGTGAATAACCTTATGAACTGAAAATTGAAGAAATTTTGAAAAATTATAATATAATTGCATTTTTGTGCATTGAATTTGTATATAAATGTGTTCATATTATTGATGAAATATCAAAGAATTAACTGAAATTTAAAGAAACTATGAGTAATAATAAAAATATGATAAAACAATATTTTATTATCTTTTGTATATAAATTCGTAATGAAATTCAAAAGAAATTAAAAATAATTAGAGAATATCAAATGTGAAATGCGCACGAGATATTTAGATAGCGGGTAAAAGGATTTCAGCTGCAAAAACGAAATTTGCGTGAAAGGAGTATCATTAAATATAATTGGCTTCTCAGACATCGGCCGTTATCGAAGGCATTCCTTATGCATCTACACCAGAGCTTCCGTACTTTTGCTTTCGAACCTGAACAAAAGGAGAGCTTCGTTTCGAAACATCTTAATCGATGAAATTTGAATAATCATTCGATTATGCAAATGCAATTACACTCAATCAATTAATTACAATGCTTATCAACTTCAATTACATTCACAAAAGGTTATTTGCTCTTGGCTTCAATTAACGTTTGAACGTCCTATACTTTCTTTGTGTCTGCATTCCAGCAATAGAAATCAATTACAAATTAATTCCAACAACATGATAATCCGAAAACACTTTTATTTATACACGCAATTATACTTTGTTGTTAAGTATATTGAAATATGCACATTCATTAACTTTAAAGGTGAAAAGTCGTAAGGTCATTCGGTACAAATTTCTGTTTTTTTTTTGCTCTTGCCACAAAATTGTTGATATTTATAAATATTGTTTTGTATTGGAAATTTACAAAATAAGTCTGAGATTCTTAGAAATTATGAATTACAATTTTCATATTTGAAATATTATGAAAACAATTTTGGTTGTTTATGCGGAAACTTGTGCAGTCAGAAGTTTCCGCGACCAGAAATGTTAATTGCCTAAACTATTCTTAAAAAAACGTACTCCATTTCTTTATTCATCTAAACTAAGCAATAAACTTATTTCCTTAGTTAACATTTACTGTCCAAATTTCTAATAAAATAACTTATGAAAAATTTATGAAATTTTCAAAATATATCTATCACCGTTACTTAACTTTTATTAATTACAATTACATCTCTAAATAATATAAAACTATAAACGTTTCTATATTGAATTATGTTGTACTAAAACAAAAAATCAATTGTTTTTTTAACATTGACATATTTTTTTTGTCTTTTTATAGTGTTCATTTTCTGTGTTTTTTTTTCTTTAAATATTTAGTTTATTTTTAATGAAATCGTGTTTTCGTTCGAAGCACGTACGTATGTTACGATGTAATGGTGGATTATGTAATTGATTGGGCAATTACATGATAGACGTCGTAATTTAACACGGTTAATCCATCAAGAAACCTTGGTCACCTCGTTTTGAAACGAGATACGGATTTATGTATCAATCAACATTCTTCACGTAAATAATAAAGTTGATATTCCCGTCAAATGATTACGAAGTCAATAAGGTAAAGTGTACGTTCGTACGAACATCAAGTACGTAAGTGCGAACATGAATATAAAAACAAATGCATTCACTATAAGATTAATTATTCGTTAAATATACGAACTTGTCTATAAAATAATTGTAAATACATGCATTTACTATCCGATTAACGTACATTCGCTTTGGAAATTGACAATTGACGTTATGTGAACGTTGTCTGTTATATATTGAAATCGGATCAAGACAACCGCAAATTACGTAATCGCGCAATTTACACGTGTAAATCCGGATCGTGTGTAATTGGTAATGATCGCGTGAAGAGCGAACGCTCAATTACCAAAACAACAACAACAACAAGAATTATACTTCGTTACGTAACTAAAGATTGTTTTTTTGTATCAATTTCTTCGTGCTGTTTCTTTTTTTTTATAAATATAACGAACGAATAAAGGTTTTTAATTAGAGCGCGCTGATTCATCGCCTCACGTTATAATTTAATTGTTGATCTTTTGAACAATCGCACTTTCACTTTCCCATCACACTTTTCACCTTAATCTCATCGCGCTGCGAAGAAACAAAACGAGATGTATTTAAAATTGTTGTTTTTTTCTCTTTCAGAAGAAGCGCTCGTTCGGGCCTCCATGTACTCGGATGGATGATTTTCTAGACGCGAACTAAGGTAACTACTTCTTCATCATTATGTTACCTTTTTTTTTTCCTCTACTACCTCGTATGTAATTATACGATCGTTGCGTAATGTTGGAGTTTCCTATATGAGGAAGAGTTTATCGTCGGTGTGAGAAACCTCATCTCTGTGCCGGTTGCACACGCACGCACATATCTTGCGATTCGATTACGCAAAGTAATATTATATGCAATGCATATCATTATTACACTTTTTTTCATTAAATTCCCATGAAATTCTATTCATTTGCTCCAGCTTATACTTTCCTGAGTTCGATTTGGTGTTAAGAAATTATTTCTATTCATATTTCAATAATTAATAATGCATATCTATAACAACACGGAAATAAATGTTTGGTGAAAGTTTTTCAAAATATTTTTTTGTTACAAAGTTGCATCCATAATATACTTCCTTATAGACACTTTTATTCGTTACTTTGAAATTTTCTTTGACTTGAGTATTAATAATTGACCTTAGATAAAGTGTGAAAGAAATTGGATTCAATACTAGAAAATGATTAAGTATTTTTTCTTAAATTATTATTACATTATTTATTAGTTTTGGAATTTGTTTGTACCAAATTGGGCTTCTACTTTTGTAACTTATAATTTCATCAATTTGTTTGCACAAATTTGATCCTTGACACAGATTCAATAATTAATACAAGTGTATAATGATTAAACTAGAAAATCATCTCATTGAATTAGTTTACGAATGTTTTAGAACTTAGTAAACTAGAGTTCAGCAAACCGTTTTCAACATATTTGTTTGTAGTTATACTGTGATTCAATTATGAGTAACATACAAATTTTGACATAAGGTGACAGCTGTCAAAAATGTATCTGTTACCAAAATTTTCATTGATTAATTTTTGGGACAAAATAAAAGTAAATTCTTGTGTGTAAACGTTAAACGTCCAGTGAATTTCGTACGAAAGTCGTCACGTTTATTTTGGAAAATTGAATACAAGAATCTGGAACTTCCTATGATATTTACGTATTTGCATGTTGGTGCGTGGTCCGGCGATGCATCATCTCCCCATTTTCGGGTTTTTGCTCCTGTTGGAAGTATTCCCACTTTGAAATATTGACCGGGTCGCCAAGACATCTTTCCAGTGTACTAAAATAAGATCCTTCTGGATGAATGCGCACACGCACGAATTTCTCTTCCTCGTCCTGCTCCTCCTTCCAACCATACGAAACTTCCCCATTTCTGAATTAATAACTTTCGAGCAAAACCGCATTTCCTTGCCGTGTCCTCGCCACAGTTTTATTCGCTCGTAAACTACGCTTCGAATGCATACAAATTGCGTTTGAAGTTTCATAGATGAAGTCTATGTTTATTTTAGCTTCTATTCCTTTTCCAACCAGGAGGTTGCAATCAATAGTTTATATATACAATTTCATGCAGACATTTGCTTTTGACAGTTACAATTGACATAATTAATGTCATGTAATTAACATTGTTTATATGAAACTTGGAACAGACTACATTTGATTTTGACATTTACAATTGAGATAATTTATGTCATGTAATTAATATTTTTTATATGAAACTTGGAACAGACTACATTTGCTTTTGACAGTTACGATTGACATAATTAATGTCATGTAATTAACATTGTTTATATGAAACTTTGAACAGACTGCATTTGATTTTGACAGTTACAATTGACATAATTAATGTCATGTAATTAATATTGTTTATATGAAACTTGGAACAGACTACATCTACTTTTGATAGTTACAATTGGCATAATTAATGTCATCTAATTAACATTGTTTATATGAAACTTTGAAAGACCACACTTTATTTTGACAGTTACAATTGACATAATTAATGTCAAGTAATTAACATTGTTTATATGAAACATGGAACAGACTACATTTGATTTTGACAGTTACAATTGTCATAATTAATGTCAAGTAATTAACATTTTTTATTTGAAACTTGGAACAGGCCACATTTTATTTTGACAGTTACAATTGACATAATTTATGACATGTAATTAACATTGTTTATATGAAACTTGGAACAGACTACATTTGATTTTGACAGTTATTAATGACATAAATGATGTCGTTTATTAATATTATCTACATTTACTTCTGACAGTTATAATTGTCATACATTAATGTCCATATAAAACATCAAACAGACTACATATGCTTTTGACAGTTATGACATGTCATACAATTTACTATGACAAGCTATTATCCACACGATGAAATCCGATGACAGTTGAATTGTCAATTTAGTGAACCTTTTTTAGTGACTATCGTGTGTATAATTTAGTTAAGGGAAATAATGGAAAATTTTAGAAAATATTTAAAAAAAACGTAATTATTTGAAATAATAAAATAAAATGTATGAAATTATTCATTAACTATTTTTTGTATTATTTTTTAATAATCTGTATTTTTTTTGTATTCTCATCCAATTAGATAAGCCGAAGCTATACAAAAGTTTCATTCATTTCAATTAAAACTGTGTTTTTGTTATTCGAATTTACATTATAAAACGCTGGATTTTTATTTGCAATGAAAATTACACTGGAACGAATGAAAAAAAACGTTTCACCGTTGAAAATGAATCAACGCGATTTTAATGTGTATTCGCCTTTATTCAAATTCACCTACTGTGAAATTTAGTTATTTGCATTTTTTCTAATAATTTACGTAGATATATTATTTATTATTATAATAATAGCCTTTTCTTAGTATATCAAAATATACAAGATGCAAATCTTTTTATTATAAGAAAGAAAATTGTAATTTATTTTGATAAATATTTTTTTAATGATAATTCTAATGAGTTTATATTATATAATATAAAGAAAAACTAACTAATTCATAAAATCTTGTAAAAACATATTCTTATTAAAGTTTAATAACTGATAAATTTGAATTTATTTCAATGTAAAAAGATGTTTACAAACGAAAAATAAAAAAGAATATATTCATATTTTGATTATTACTTCTCGATTTGCTTGAAAAAGCTTATAAATATTATAGAAAGTCTTCAAATTTCCACTGTACTTATAAATATATTCCTTCTTAACGAGCGATCAATCATTTTGACAGGAGACATGAAATAATTGATTTACTAGTAAATATTTCGGAAGTCAGATAATTTATCATCATTGTTGATTTTTGTTCTATTAAATTTATTGTAAAACTATTATTATCTTGTAATTGGATAAAAATACTCTTTCATTTGTAATTTTGAAATATGATAAACGTCATTTAATTCGAAAATATTAATCTTTCTTATAGTTGATTCAAAATTTTTACTTATGATCAATTTTATATAGTTAATTCGTATCGTATTCAAAACTACACAGAACTACTAATAATCAGATACAATATGACATACCTATTTTCAACTAGTATTACTCAAAACAAATGATAATAAATAATAAGGTTAGGTTACTTAAGTTTGAATTATGTTAGGACAGACTTTGACAAGTATTGGTAAAGTAAAACTCAAAATACTTAAACTTAGTTGATGCCTTTTTCATTAAACATTGATTATTGTATAAACCAGAGATGGGCAACCCTCTGCTCCGGAGCCGCATAAGCTAATGATATGGTGCTACATATGGCTTCTTCGATATTTTTCAAACAAACAATGTTCTCAAAAATATTGAAATATTTAAGAAACTAGGACAAAAAATTATTTGTAAATAAAGTAAAGTAAATATTATTGAATATTTTTACGACTTCTGTTTGAAGTCAAAACATTTAAAGTAATGAGAATCGTGCTATATCCAAAGTTACTATTGATATTGTAGAGTGGTAGTGGTAGTTTCAAGGATTTCCATTAGATAAAGAACGAAGTTTTAGTGTAAATAAGGTCGGATCCGTTTTTTTTTTATTGATCAGATGCGAGCTATTTCCATCCGAATGTGTTTGGTCAGTGACATATCGACCAACTAACGATAATAGGTCTTCCGTACTAAATTTTTGGCCCAACCTCAAAACTATACATGTACACTATATATAAAAATATAAATAAACACACAGCACGCACACAAGTGTCCTGTTTTTGTTATTCGCAGAGCTTTATGTGCTTATCCATGTACTAGATCAAAGGACAAACTCATATATAACAGATCCTCATTTGTTTTATTGCTGACGAAAAAACGGCCACCCTATTTAATAGATAAAAAAATATCGTAAGAAATATGGTTGAGAAAATTGGGACACTGTTATAATTTTATATATTTTATTGTCACCAATTATATGAAGAGACGACTAATAGCCGAATGGTTAAGTCGCCCTACTCATGATTTCGTGGGCGCCGGTCCTGGTTAAGCCAGGCCCTTTGTGAGCACTCTCGACAAATTAAAAATCATCATAATGGTAAAATTATCCACCGGGAAAGATTATCCATTTAATGTCAACCGCGATCTTAAATTTACTAAATGGTCACACATTGATGAACAGAAATTATTCGACATAAAAAAAAATATATGAAAAAAAGAAATTTCTTTTGAAATTAACTAAGTTAACAACGATAATTAAATTAAAATGCTAAAAAAACGCAAATATAAAAAAAATCATATATACCAATAGTGGGTAAATGGTGTTTTCAGAGCCGCATGCCGCTCTTTTTATAAGAAATTGTGGCTCCAATCTCTCATAATGGTGACTTTAAGTTGCCGATCCCTGATATATACTAATTTTTAATTTACAAAAAATGAAATAAGGAAAATGTTATAGTTAATACCAATAATATTGAAGTTAAAGTTATTTTAAGAAAATATCTGAACAGATGAAAGAAAACTAAACTGAATGATTTGTGCAAATTGTGGTAAGTTGTTTAACATAATGATGGGAATTCCTATAGGATGTATATTAAAATTGCAAAGATTCTAATGGAAAAATAATTCAAATGCAAATAGCAAAATGCTTTCGGATGGGAATGGTACGAAGCTTAATGACGGATTGTTTTCGTAATGTTCTTCCGGAAACGGATCCAGTTGAATAACC